TGATAAGGGAATATGCTGACTTAGAATTTGGGGAAACATTGCATGCAGATTTAAAACAAATTCAGAACCTGGTTCTCTGCCCCAACCTGTACTCCGCATGTCCAAACTACTAATTAGACATCTCTGTCTGGTATGCTACAGTCAACATCTCCAAAACTGAGCCCATCAAAATTCCTCAAGTTCCCTCTTTGAGCTTCACCAACTGCTGGCTATCCACGGAGTCACATCTGTCAGCCTCCACTCCCTTCTTACGACCCACGTGAGGGTCACCTCCTTTAGGAGGCTTCTGACCTCTTTTACCCACCTGAGTGGTGAGCTAGGTGGTCCTTGAGGCACACAGCAAAACACTGGTTTTGAATCCCAGCCTTTAGTACCGAACTTGCTCGCTCACAGAGTGAGCGTTTGATTCCTCATTGTTGATTAATAACAAACTTGGCTGCCTACTTCCCCCTGACCATCTACAGCTAAGTTAGAAGCAATACCTGATAATGTAGCATGACTGCGCTTTAGAGGAAGAACTGCTGTGATGAGAATGACAGCTAAACCTGTGTTATGCAATGCTTAAATTCTACTAAACTGACTTTTAGAATTATAAAATATTAAAAATTTCCCTTAAAACAATAAACTATCCTTGACATTTCAGATTATCTATAATACAAATGGTTCATAATTTCTGAGCAACGTATGCCTGGCATCTAGCTGGGTCCTTTTCACAGATTTCCAATATTTATTTTATCTACCCTGCCTGTTATAAAATAAAAAAAAACTGAGGCCCAGAGAGGTTGGGACATTCCTTAGGTTGCACAGCTAGTAGGTGGCAGAGCTGTGATAAAAACCCGACATCGGATTCCAGAGCAGCACACCTCATAATTATGCCCTGCTGCCTCCTTGAAGAAAAAAAAAAAAAGTTGGTAACAGTTTTGAAAATTAAAACATCACTGGCCTGGATTCAAACTAGAACTTTATTCTTCAAATAACATACTAGGCTGAGAATATGTATTCATCTGTAAAACTCTATGTTATAAAATAATTTGCAAATTTGTATTAACTTTCTCAAGCATTTTTATTATTAGATCTTTAAAGAGAATCTACGATTAGGGTTTCATTTAGAAGAAAAACATGAAAACTCTATAGCAGAGAGACATAGTGACTTCTGCTAAGACAGCATTTTCCTGTTTTTATTTATTTGTTTATTTTTGAGAGTTAGGGCCCCAGTTAATTAAGAGCATCTGGAAATTTCACCTCTCTTGATCCAACAGCAGGTAAGTGCTTGTCTGTGCAGGTTTGCTCTTTGATAGAAGTTTCTGAGGTCAGGCCATAGACCAATGAACAGTTGCTATTTCCTCCTAGATGGTCAAAATAAGCTTATCAAGGTAGATAATCTTCAATTTCACTTTCTGAAACTCGAAATCTCACATGTTACATCATTTTATTTATATGTGAAAAAAAGCTGACCTGTCAAAATACTTTGACCTGTCCCTGTGTAACCAGCAAATTCCATTGGCGTCAACGAACCTTTTCGAGGTGTATCTGACTGTTGGGAGGAAAAAAAAACGAGGAGTGAGTTTTATTTTTTCGAATATTTTTAAAAATCAAACTTACGGTTAACAGAGAACCTACCCGGAATGTATGGGTTGTGCTGGGCCTTGAAAGCTGTTCCAGGGTTACAGTTCTTTCTCGAAGAGGTGATAGTTCTATACTGTTAGGCATTGCACTGAACACACGGCTTTGTGGATGCCTTCCTCTGTACTAAATGAAGGATAATATGTTCTTGTTTAAAATAAA